CATCAAGCGTTGCTTACAATTCAGGCGAAACTAAAACTTGCAATTATTTTTTTTACTTTTCGAGACTCTGGCGAAATCCTCGCAAGAGTGTGGCAAGAGGAGGGAAACTTTGAAGTCCTGAAACGCTGCTATATTCAAATATATCCCACTAGTTTTTTGCTGTGTTTTGGAAAAGCTGTTAATCTTCAACATGGGTGAAACTTAGAGTGGAGTAATGTGGAGCTCTTTTAAAAGAGGCAGCGGAACACAACTTGGTCAGTGATATAAAGCGGCACATAACTAAATTAAACACTGTCTTACTTCACTCAAACTGGAGCAGCTTGCGACGAAAATACTGAAGTAAAATTCCAAAAGACATGAACGTATTGAGTTGTGGGCCTTAAGTATCAAACGTTTCGGGAATTTCGGACGCCATTTTTTCGCGCTACATTCGCAAAAATCCTCGCAGCATGTACGCGCGTACGCCGCACGGGATGGCGCAATTTGTTCTTAAAATAGAAAAATTGTCCCATATCATAGTACAGGCGGCCGAGACGTTGAATACGATTAATATGTGACATTATGCTGTCGGCGATTGCATTACAATTTTAGCCGTTTGTAGGACAATGTACGAGAATTCTTCGAAAATTACTCTAACTGCTACGTGTAGAAAACAATTTGAATAAAATAGCTTACCTTATGTTTGCATTGCGTTATTTTGATGTCTCTAGGCTCCTGGAGGTGGTTTAGAGCCATTTAAGCGAGTTTTACTTTCTGGCGGTTTGCTTCCCCTAAAGAGAAACGAAAGGCGGGCGACCCACTGGGTAACCCACTGGCCCGGCGGTCCGCACTCATAGCTCCGTAAATTCCACAAAAATGGTCTAATCTCGTCAAAATTGCCTCATGGCAGCCGTCGGTAACTCTTCTTCCCATTCGCTTTCTCCCAGGGTTCCAAAGTTTATCTTAACCGTCCGAGAATCGCTGGTTTTCCAGTTCTTGTTTTCTATTTCTGCTCCATCTCTATCGGTAACCGATTATCTTGGCCACAGGATTTGAATTTCTAGCTTAGCGACCGCACCATCGTGACAAAGTTACTACTATCCGTCGAGAGGCACGGGACATTTTTTGATCATGCAAATTGCACCGTGCCGCGGTGTATAACTGAAATTAGCGCCTAAAAGCACTGCTGTTAACTGCAAAAGTACAAGAAGCAAACAATGTTCAGATGAATTTAGCGCCTAAAAGCACTGTTAACTGCAGCGAGAGATGGCAACGAGTAACTGACCAATGCCCCGT